ACAAACACCATTGAATCCAGTTGTCTTATTCATTAAAAATAATATTAAAACCAGAACTAGTATACGTAAGAGAATCTATCTTGGGAGGTTTTTGTAATTCCAGACACACCAAGACTAGAAGAGGAAGGCCCACACTAGAAGACATTAAGGGCTCCATTACTCTTCATAGTGCTGCTGCTGCTGCTGCTGATGGTCTTACTCTGTGATCATGCATACTGGAGGCAAGAGCAAAGTGATGACCACATACAAGTGCTGCTGCTCCTTTACTGTTCTGTCAGAATAGGGGGAGCCCTGGACCAGGTTGTATTGCTCAAAACATGCCTGTAGCAGCTCCAAAACTACAAAACTACCACTGTGTGCTGATGGCACCAGAAAATACCCCAGTGTCTGGTCACATTTTCTACCCCATGAGCCTAATTGCTCATGTCAACATTGCTTACTAAATCGTCACATGCTGAGCCCTACTATTGGCTAGTGAAGCTGTCTATCGCAGTGAGGAGTCAGCAAGAACTGTTGACCATGGCAAGCAGTTCAGCAAAGGGGTGCTCAGCAGAAAATTCTGCCAGATGTCCAGGCTCCTGGATGTGGCTTCAGTAAACAGTAAGCTGCTTTTTTGTAGTTCTGGGATTGCCATAGGTTCATGTAGTTTGTAATATGTAGAAAGGTCCCATACATGGCTTTGTTGTCAGGTAAGATATAACAAAACTGTCTAAACAGAACTCAGAACCTTTAGAAATCACTACCCTTTGTAGGCTAAATACTTACCTGTTCAGTGGGAGCAGAGGAAAATTTTAACTCCTCCCCGGTCACCTTTGCGATCTGACATTTCCGGGGGTTACGAATAGTGTGTTCTCCGCTGCAGGCTGTGGTTCTGCCTGCCAACCCATAAATCACTAGACACAGTAGTGACATAGGTGTTGGTGGGAGGAACCACAACATGTGTTTTAATAAAATAAATTAGATTTGTGGGGACATTCCATATGCAACGTAAAGGAAACCTTCAGTCTTGTTGACATGGTGCCATAAAGGTGGTCATAGAAAATCATAGCTGGGCTGGTAGGTACTGAAATGGAAATCAGTTTTGATAACATTAAATCACAAAATAGCTACTGAAGCAATTATATACGTTTTGTTAATTGTTTTTTAACAAAAGTGGAGTTGCTCTTAAAAGATAAAAATATGCCATAACATTCTTCATCTCCACACATTTTTCATAAAAAGTACCCAAAATACAATTCAATAAAATAGTCCCAGGATATAAAGGAATAGAGCGGCTCTGTGAAGTTATTCTCTGTTCAAGTTTGAGAGTATTTATAAAAAGGGTGCCGCTTAGATTTGTGGTGCCCAGTTCTTTAAGATTATGGTTTCTCCATAAAGAATAATGAATAAAGAAGGCTGCTATGTTTAACGTGTAACCAAGGCAAAATATAATGCAATCCGTCCCTTGCATCAACGCAGCAGCTTTTTCACAAGCTGATGTATCCAGTAAATACTATATTTTTCTACTTCCTTTAACAGGGTGACAACAGGGTGTTTTTTCTGCAGTGAAATCACTCAGCAGTGTTGTCACTCTAGGGTAGTCTTAGATGGACGTTACACTCTCAACCTTTTTCAATAATGAATCCAGAGTCAGCAAAATATACATTTCCCAGAAAAGTATTTCTTTACATTGTTGCCCAAGCACTCACAGTCATCATGTTTCAAAAACAGCTCTAACTCTCTCTGCTCGGCTTCCCTGAATGTTCTGTCCATTACAAGATAACAAAGGGACAGAGATTTATCCAGCTGCTGTCCATCTACTAGCTTGGAGAAGGGAAAAGGGAAGAGGGATGAAGGAGGAGCAGGGAGAAGGGCAGTGACTTGCCTTGCTGTGCCTTGCTGTTTGTGGAGACACAGACAGCCTACTAGCACACACAAGGGTAGCTCCACAGGACCCTGTAAGGGAAAGGACCACCCTAAAACAGGATATCAGGACCAGTGCTCAGGGGACCAGCAGGAAACTAAAACATTTAAACATCAAAAAACAGCTTCCATTGTAAGTGATTTAATCAACATTTGAAATGGCTTAAAAACATTTTTACTTCAAAATCACGTTAAGTAGGAGACAAATTGCACCTTACTCTGGGTAACAATTTTTAATAAGTTACAGCAACTTATTTTTTCTTTTGAAAGAATAAAAATGAAATCTGACAGTTGTAAGCACCATGGCTGAGTAATATGGTTTATCCCATCCCCTGTAATTGTCATCTTTACAGGACAGCATTGACTACATACAGTTAGCAGAATATAATATTTTCCCTCTATAGTGGCCCTTTAATTATCATCCTTCTACTGAAGGGCATGTTGCCTGGTGAAGCTCAGTCCAAAAGCACTTTAAGATTTGATAATTAGGTTGAAATTGTTCAGATAATCTGAAGAATATATTTTAATGTGCAATTAAAGTGAGAGCAATAGAGCTTTAGAGTGGGTAGTAAACTACAATACAGAGGGCAACAAATGTGATTCTGGTTGATCGGGCTCAAATCTGAGTAAGTGTTTGAACATATCTATTTCCCAGGGAATTATCAATTCGATTGAAAGCTCCAGTAATGGTGCCCAAACATGTACAGACCTGACTGGCTGATAACCAATATTGATGGCTTAAATCAAATTGGTTATAGGTGAAGTCCACCTTTTTAAAATAAATAAATAAATGCACATATTCATAAAAGAAAATAAATTGCATTTATCATAATTTTGTTTTGCATTGGAGCCAGTAAAGTATTGCAACCATGATCATTGAATCACAGGTGCAATGCTCTGCCTCTTGCAGACTCTGCTTTTCCATGTCCATACCAACAAACAAATATTTGGTAACAGGAATGGGATAAAGTGTCGGTGGACTACAAGTGCTTTGTCCTCCCCACACTTGTGCCCGGAGTTGGGCTTTAATGCTATTAGGGTGCAGCTTAATATATAGTAGCAAACCAAAGTTGTTAGGATATTGTAATAAATTGAACACAGCAGCCAAAGAATGCAAACCTGGATATATTTTATATCCAGAAATATATTTTACATTGCATGGATGGGTATCTACATAACACCAGGATGCTACAGGATCTTTGTGAAGTCACTACTGTGGTGGAACAGAGCCAAGAATATTTACTCTTAACTTTGGGTTTGGGACCTCCTCCCTTGTTTGCCCCTTACCACCCTTGGAGCCAGCTCTGCACTGTAAAAAAAATCAATATACATACTAATTTCCCAGCAATCTTGGATCCACCTTAGTGACATCACTGGTCCTCACTGCCCTCTTCTTCCTCTGGAGGTTAGCAGATTCTTAATGCTGCAGAGAACAATGCCAAATAATGATGACACACCTGTAGCATTCTTCTGTGAGTCCCGAGCATGGGGGGAGAGGAGCATTGACAGCCTGGGCTAACAGGAAATGGGTGGAATGATACTGTGTGTGTAAAGGTCAGACCTAGAGATTAGACAGGTCTACTTGCCAGAGCTGCTTCTTTTATTTTACAGAATTGCCAGGGATTCCACTTTTAGTTCTACCGCCCAAATTAGTCTTTGCCCTTATGATCTTCCCACAAAATGTCTATGGCCAGAAAATACATAAAACATAATATATCATACAGAAGGAACCATGACAAGTTAGCATTCTTATAGGGCCTATGTTATTTTTAATTTATAATATGTTCAATTCATTGTCACTGTTAAGACGTTTGGTAGCTGTTATCAGGGTCAATTTTCGCATGGTCAAGAGTCGCCCAGGTGTGTACTTGTACCTTTTTTTTGCAATACATGACGCGCGGCTATTTGATCGTATTCATCGTATTCAGAAACACGGGCAGAATCGCGGCGGGAAACCGTGCAATCCGCCCGGCACGACTGGGTTGCCATTGGAAAATAATGTTGACCTGGGTGACTCCTGACCTTGCTGCAATTTGTGCGGAATAGGTGTGCTCCGGCCCTATGGGCTAGGTTCACACCTAGGCGATTTATCGCGCAGATTTAGCCGTGCAGTATTGCACAAAACAGAGATTTGCATTCAAGTCTATGGAAGCTGTTCACACCTTTGCGATTTGTCACGTGATAGATATCGCCTGTCGCACAAAAAGGTACAGGAGTGATTTTTGGGCAGATGTTGAGCAATTTGGGTCCCACAGACATCTCTGTGCATTGACAACCGAGCGGTTTTCAAAGCAAAATCGTGTGAACAGAAATGCTTGACAATCACACGAAAACAGCTCAGTCGCTTAGGTGTGAACCTAGCCTGAGAATTAAAGGGTTTGCAAACCCTAACAATAAATTACTCTTATTTGGTCCCTTTCGGTGTATTAATTATACCAAATGTATTTCATTCTATGGGTCCAATAAGTACCAGAAAATACCTGTTGATACTGCTAGAATTCTTGTGACCTAATAACTTCCCATGCACTTTGCCTCTGCTGACTGCTATCATTTAACATTGTTTCTTACTCGCTCTGTGGACTGCAGAACATCTGCAACCTGTTTTGCAGTCCAGAAACACTGTCTTACCTAGGGTGATAACGCTGATTCTCCATAGATATAGTACGGTGAGTGAGCATTTTCGCCCTAGGACAAGAAGCACATTAGTGGAAGAATTACTTGTGATAAAGGAAAAAAAAAGGCCTAAAAAAGAAAAAACAAACGCAGCCACCACATCTAAAGAATGGTAAATTGCAACTGATTACGTTTTTGTCCTTGAGCTTAGATACACTTTAAGATACACTTGGCAACAAGAAGCTGTTATATAAAATACATTTGATGTGAATCAGAAGAGAAATACTCCAAATAAAGCAAATGGATAGAGTTAACTATGTGCCATTATGTTCCATTACTCAGTTGTGAGTCTATGCTTTATTGTATGTTGAAAAAGTGGAAAACCACTTTAAAGTGACCCTTGTCTGGAAAGGTTACACTTTACCATTATGACATGCGTTATCTTCTCTCCTTTGTAAAGAAAATAAAATGAGCAAAAAACAAACCTGCGTTGGGTTTTTGGTGTAAAGATCTTGACGCCATCCATGCCATGCTGCTCATTCAGTTTGGCAGAAGATGCCAAACTATTAATAAAGCCCAGTCCCAGCAGAGATTCTGGTCTTCAGGTTGTGTGATGTCAATTATTGCTCTCTTCCCCAGCCAAGGGCTTTAGCACAGTCCTGCTTTTGTAGTTCTGCCAGGCTTCAGGGGCAGTGATGGAGCAAGAAAACAGCGTGTTCTCTCCCTAGAAAGGCAAATACAATTATTATACATAATGTCTTTTACACAGCGAAAGCAGAGAAAGTGTAAGAGACACACAACAACACTAGCAACCTGCTGATGTATTCTTTTAAAATGAGATATTCACTATAATTCTGTTATGTTTTCATAATGTAAAGTCCTTCTTAAGTGGATCTATAGGTTTTTTTAAAACGTAATAAATAAATTGCAAGCAGGAAGATTTAAGTTACACAAGAGACATGTTATGGGGTTGATTTACGAAAGTAAGTAAAGTAAGTAAAATTTTGTAAGGGAATCTTCCCATAGCTTAGTGTATGAGATGAAGCTCTGCTGCCTTCCATCATCCACACTGGTTTTCCTTCCATGTGATTGGGTATTGTTTGCAAATAGGAATTTTTAACACATTCACTAAACTAAGGGAAATTCCCTTGCAAAGAATGCTCAATGATGTGCAAAAAGAATAATAAATAAATAAATGCATATATATATACACACAAAGTCATGCCCAAAAATATTGGTGGCACCCCTGTATTTCTGTCAGATAATGCACCACTTTGCGCAGACAAGTGTTGCAATTACAAATGTTAAGGCATTATCATGTTTATTTATTTTGTTTATATCAGTATGACACAAAAAATTGAAGAAAAAAAGTCAAATCTGACACATTCCACGCAAAACTCCAAAAATGGACTGGACAAAATTATTGGCACCCTTAATTAATATTGGGTAGCACAGCCCTTGGAAAAAATGACTGAAATCAATCTTTTCCTGTAACCATCAGTGAGTTTCTTACAGCTCTCTACATGAATTTTGGACCACTCTTCTTTTTCCAACTGCTCCGGGTCTCTCGGATTGGAAGGGTTCCTATTCCCAACTGCTGTTTTGAGATCTCTCCACAGGAGCTCTATGGGATTCAGATCTGGACTCATTGCTGGCCAGCCCAGTACTCTCCAGTGCTTTGAAACCATTTCTGGGTGCTTTTTGATGTGTGCTTTGGGTCACTATCCTGCTGTAAGACCCATGACCCCTGATGGAGACCCAACTTTCTGACACTGGGCCCTACATTGCACCCCAGAATTATTTTGTAGTCTTCAGAATTCATAATGCCATGAACACAGACAAGACATCCAGCGCCTGAAGCAGCAAAGCAACCCCCAAACATCAGTGAACCTCCACCATGTTTGACTGTAGGGACTGTATTTTTTTCTTTAAAGGCCTCATTTCTTTTTCTGAAAACAGTAGAATGATGGGATTTACCAAAAAGCTGTAATTTTGTTTCGTCTGTCCACAGCGCATTCTCCCAAAAGGATTTTGGCTTCCTCAGGTAAGTTCTGGCAAACTCCAATCTGGCTTCTTTATGTTTCTGTGTCAGCAGTGGGGTCCTCCTGGGTCTCCTACCATAGCGTCCCTTTTCATTCAGATGGCAACGTATAGTGCGAGCTGACACAGTTGTACCATGTGCCTGCAGGTCAGCTTGAATTTGTCTGGAAGTAGATTGAGGGTCTTTATCCACCATTTGAACAATCCTTTGTTGCAATCTTTGATCAATTGTTCTCTTTCGTCCAAGTCCAGGGAAATTAGCTACAGTGCTATGGGCTGTAAACTTCCTGACAATGTTGTCCACAGTGGACACAGGAACATTAAGACCTCTGGAGATGTAACCTTGAGATTGTCCATGCTTTTCAGCAATTTTGTTCTCAAATCCTCAGACAATTCTTTGCTGCTCTTTCTCATCTCCATGCTCTGTGTGGCACACATAGACACACAACAGAAAGGTTGAGTCAAATTTCCACCATTTTAACTGGTTGCTGGTGTGATTTCTATATTGTTAGCTCCTGACAATATAGACAATTGATACAGGTGAGTTTAATTACAAATTATAGTATAATGCAATTATTTCTTGCCATTTGGAGAAGGTGCCAATAATTTTGTCCAGTCAATTTTTGGAGTTTTGCGTGGAATGTGTCAGGTTGGGATTTGTTTTCCTCTACTTTTCTGTGTCATACCAATACAAACAAAAGAAATAAACCTGAGAATGCCTAAACATTTGTAATTGCAACAATTTTCTGCATGAAGTGGTGCATTATCTTATCAGAAATGCAGGGGTGCCAATATTTTTGGCCATGACTGTGTATGTATATATAGATATATAGATATAGATATAAAGCTTGCACATGATTGGATGATGGAAGTCAGAAAAGGTTCACTTCAATCACTAAGTTAAGGGAATATTATCTCGCTAAGTGAACAGCCTACTTGCCTTTAGTAAGTCAGCCAGGGCTCCAACACTTCTCTGCTCTAAAACAAAAAAAAAAAAAAAAAACGTTTTGAACAGAATGTGGAAGGTTTGTTGGGTTTTTACTGCAATCCATGGTTCCAAGATTATTTACAGAGACAGGTTTGAACAGAAAGAAAGTGAGTGGAAATCTGAAGCAAGGACACAGCCATAACCAACTAATAAAAACATTTTGTGGCTGGATTTCTACATTAAGGTATATAAGCAACATAGCATACCTACTAATAAACACTCATATAATTCTTACTACAGCCCAGTGCTAGGGCATCAGTAGCCAACAGTATTGGTGACTTTGGATTGTTAGATGGCAGGGGCAGGGCTAACCTCTGACTTAGAGCTTGTCTGTGTCAGACAATGTGCCCCATATACACCAAATGTAATTTGGAGGACTTAAAAGGTAGTTTCAAGCAGCTATTAATGTCTTCTTTTTTAAGCAATATTGAAAGTCTGTACACTTTGTGTAAAAGGTTCTCCTCTTGTAGTAGGCCACATATAGTCAAGGGAGGTCAGATATGCAGTTATGAGGAGGATCCCCTCCTACGGATTGGTTCCTAAACATGCATATTTAGATCCCCTAATAATGCATGTTTATACATACACAGTGAATGAGGAACCTTCGGTGCCAAGCAGACTATTGAACAAAGGGATCACTGTCTCTTTCATCTGGAATAGGTCAGTCTGAGGAAGGGTCTGTGTCAACGAGCTTTGGGCTTGTGGCAATGTCATCAGTTTGACATCAATTTGATATGCTTCTGAGATCATTCAGAATTCATTGAGAGGTGCTTTTGACCTACAGCTGACCTCATTCCAAAATGTATTTCACCTGCAACAAGCAGGTTTTGCATCCCCATGGGTTTGTATTGGATGCAAAATCCATTAGAATTAAACAAAAGCACAATGACACAAGCCATAACAATCACATCATGTCTATGGTCGGCTTTAAAAAAAAATTGGTTAATGTAAAGTTGAACATCTTCTATTCTACTTTTTTTGTGGACCTTATGAGAAGCTTAAGGTTTCCTTTCAACAACATTATGAGTACAGCGCCCTTTCCTGTCCTTTGAAAGTTAAGACACAAAGAGAAACACAGACAGTCTGCTTCCACCACATGCGGCTTAAGCCGTCTTATCTATTCATTAAGCAGTTGATTTTGGCAGGACTCTGGCTGAAAAAAGTATATTTCTGTAAATAAATCTGTTGCATTGCCTGTTCCAGACATTTCATAATGCTTGGCAATTGAGCTCTGCTTTTCCCTGTTTTTATTTCGCAGGGTTTCAGGTGCACAATTAGCAGAAATAAATCTGTTCCTCGGTACAGGATTTGAAATATAAGTTAATATTTACATTGGAGACTTTAAAACCCCCAGTTAATTAAGCATTCAAATATTTGCAGAGTGGAGATTTCGCTTCCCTAAGATGGAGTAAAACAAGATAAAAAATGCATTATCGAAAACAAAGTATTAAACGCTCGTGCCACATTTTATGAAATATATATAAGTAGTTAGAGAAACTTGATTTCATTTACAGGCATGTGTTGCATTTTTCAGGGTTACAGATTTCTCTTTGAGCATTGAAATGTCACCATCGCAGATGCAGAAATGATCTACTGTCTGCTGGATGAAAGGATTTCGCAATAGAAAACAAAATGAAATCCCCAATTTGATAGGGGCTCCTCAGTGTAGCATCATTAACCCTTTTTTCCCCCAGGCATGGTTTTTAATTGCTATCAGGTGCTATTGCAACAGTCCCCCATAGCACTAGTATTTTCAGAAGGCAACCTCAATGATCTGTTACTTACACTAATGTCCACAAAAATTCAGTACATCTGCACACAGGTCTTTGTATGTATTAAAAACTCTATCACTTTGTTGCAAATCCATGGCAGTACAAAACAGTCAAGCTCCCATTTCACTTAGCAAAGTTTTTGGACAAATTATTAAACTAAAAGTGAGATTGTAGTCCATCACGGAAGCGAGCTTGGAGCGGTGGCTACTTTACAATACATAGTGACCATGAGGAACAAAAGTTGCCACCCTCTAAAAGGAAAGACAGTGCCAGCACTAGGATCTAAGCCAAGTAATATACAAATAAGATACATTTTTATTAATAGTCAAGGTACTTGAATGCATTTTTAACATTTAACTCCTGGGTTTAGTGCCACTTTAATACAGACAAATGCATACACCTGTGTGCAGATGTACTACGTTTTTGCATGCTTGAAGTTCCTCAAAGCTGCAAAATGAGGTTTCAACCTTGCACCAGGCAGTGGATAAGAAGTATACTCTTGAAGAACAAGTCTACATTTTTCAAGTCTACATTTGTATTTAGGGGTTTGCTCCTAGCTTGACAAATTCTAAATCCAAAACTGAAAACTATTCACCTGCAAAGTGTTGTATACGGGTCATTAGTTCTTGCTCTAGAGCTAGTCTGCCTGAAAAATGTAGACTTGTACTTCAGGAGCACACGCTTTATTCACTGCCTGGTGTTAGTATGGAACCATGTTCAGCAACTGTGAAATGGGAGTCTGGCTGTTTTGTACAGCCTTGATTATGCAACAAAGTGAAAGAGCTTTTAATACGGATAAAAACCTGTGTAACAAGGTTTCATCCAGCCACCAGGCAATGGATAAGGCGTGTGCTCTTAAAGTACTAAGAAGATCTAATGACCTGTATCCCACACTTTGCGCGTGAAGTTTTTAGATCCGGGCAA